CACGAGAGTAAAAATCCCATGACGGAATAATTTAGGAGAGTAGAGATGGATTAGATGATAAAAGGTGAAAGGTAATTGAGCGAGGTTAGCCAAGTACCTAAGACATGCTACACCCCTCCATACAATGGGGCCAATCTGTCCTAAACACTCATTGAAGAAGCAACAAAATTCAATAATGACTGGGTCAATAGGAGGTCTAAAATCTAATGTGAAGGAATACGTATACACAAAAGAAAAAAGCCAGGCTTAAAAGAAGTGATCCTTTGGTTTTCATTGGGGACCAGAATTGGAAAATCAAATTTCCAATGACAATCTCTACGAACAACAGAAATCAAACCCTCAGTAATCTGTGAAGGATAAACATCAGCACGATCGTGAGAAGACATAGAGGAGACTTGATTTCTAATCGACTCTCTATCAGAATAAAAAGAAAGTTCGGCAGGGATAATCTCGTCAACTGTAGGTTCACGAATTGGCTCGCTGGAATCGCTGTTTCTAGCAGAAGACCTATGTGAAAAAGAAGCCCTAGTTCTAGAAGACGATGGAGGAGTAGAACTAGGTTGAGAAGAAGAACCTCGTATGGAAACTGACCCTAAACTACGCAGCCTACCACCTCTCCTACTTCTGGTAGGAGCAAGGGGAAGTTCATCTACAATAAGGACCTTTCGAGGATCATGGTTTGGAGAAGACATGGTTGTACGAAGAAGTAGAAAGTATTGGATGGAAAGATATGGAAAATTTTTCGTAAAAGAAAAGACAAAGGATATATATATACTCGGAAGCAACCGTCAAATAAAAAGGTAATGATGGAAACGTCATTATAAAAACTGTCACTTCGTGATTGATGCAGGCATAAAAAAAGCCCTAAAAGGTGCTGAGGAGTTGCAGAACCAATCGTAGGACACCACGTGTCACATGCATTAAATGGAAGTGACATACGATGCGTTGGTTCAGAAGAAGGTATAATGATATGAGGGAAACGGCGGCAAAAATTCCCGCTTTAGTGAGATCCACTTCCCAAATATTCAATTGATGAATAATTGGCAAGTAGGTGGACTATCTGTATTGGAAAAAAATCAATATTACCCTTGTAATTAATTATGTGGCTGACGTAGCAAGACACTGGATCAGTAGAAAAGCGACAGCTGGAGAAGAATACTTAAAGAGACGCGAGTCTAAATAGGTACGAGCAAGGCGTCTAAGAGACAAGAATAAACGGTTGATCGGGTCTCATTATAATTTGAAGAGATATCAATGGAATGAATCAAGACAGCAAAATGTACAGATTCGTTAACCTTCAAATAATGAGTATGAATGATTAGAAACGTTACAGAATCTTCATGAAACAGTTACGATTGCCAAACATAACGTTTCATTAATATCATTAATTGCTCATTATGACTCAATTATGAGAAGAGACGTTGTACTTAGAAATAACTATAAAAGAGGGAAAAATGACATTTGTATGGACACGTTCTGACTATTATTGGAATATACTTATTTACTTTGCTTTATTCCGATTGCTCTACTATTTCTCGTTCTAATTTTTTCTTTTTCATTACAAAGATATTCTTTTATTTGGTTATCAGAAGCACGAGTACTTCTAAAGTAAATTTTGACCGAGATTCCTATTTTCTGGTTAAACAATAACGCATGTTCTTTATTATTCCATTAAACCCTTAGTTTTCTCAAACAATCCGTTTTTTGCTTACATATTTGATCCAAATCTCGCATTTATCTATTTTTGTAGTTAGAGGCGAATCTACATAAAATATTTAATTTGGCGAAAAGATTATGGATTTACGTGCACAGTAAAAACGGTCTAAATCCGCCCTGTTCAAAGCAACCGCACGGAGGAATTGGATTCACATGAATTTTGTTGAATTCATTAAAACATTTTGTTTGTTGCTAATTATTCTTAGTCATATTATTCTTTCATTGGATTGGAGAGCAACTATCATACTTTAATTTCTTTATGTCGATAAAAATTTCATAATTCAGAGACATGAAGTCAACTTTGAACTTTTTTTCCTTTGTAGATATAATAGTGTTGTCCCAAAGCTAGAATAATTTTAGTGGCCAGAAAGAGCTCAATATTCCCTACGCAAGTAGCATTGAAGCAAATATCTATCATTCAAAAGCATGAATGAACAAGAGACCACTCTTTTACTAAGGTCCATAGAAAGCTTTTCCCCTTTAGAAGAAAACAATTCTCTTAAAAATTCGGCAAAGCATAAAAAAAAGAGAAAAATAATGGCTTTCCTTTAGGGCGGATCTAGCGAAGGAGTTACAGTTTCATTCGAACTCAGTAACTTTGGCTTAAACTTTAGATATATGTTAAAAAATTTCTTAAACAAGTAATAATAATAGATTTTGAATCCAGTAAATTAAACGAAATATAATAGAATTCTGAAATCACACTCATAAAGTTTAAATTCTAGATCTGTCCTACCGTAGTAGCGATCCACTAGTCTCAAATCATTAATTTGTATTCTATACCATAAATAGATTAATTCATGATTATAAAGTCTTTCATTTTGTGTGATAACAGGTGCAAACTTAGATAAAATATGTTTTTCAAATATTTAAACTATATATATATATATATATATATATATATATATATATATATATATATATATATATATATATATATATATATATATGGTTATATATATATGCACTCACTCCGGAGCTCTTCATCTGCACTTGTATCAAATTAAAACATGGAAAAAGAAGGAAAATTTAAAAAAAAATATAAAGAAGGAGAGGAAGATAAGAGATTTCTTTATTTGTCACCACATGGGAAGATAATTGTGCAAGGGTCCTACTTCTCAACTATTGAGTCTTGGGAAGTGACCTTTTATTTTATGCAACATCAAATCAAATGGAAAATTATTGAGGCGTAGTGAGATGGTTGAAATTCCCTCTTAATTACATATGTTTGTATTTTAAAATGGAATATTTTTTTTTCCGATATGGAGAATTTTATCCTCTTAAACTTTTTTACTTATGCAAATTTAAATTATTCGGTCAGTAAATTTTAAATACCAAATAGTTAAAGTAAAATTAAAGAGAAAAGGCTTTATGGCTTCTAGTTTAATTTGTTTTTATCTACAATCATGGTGTGGGGGTAAAAATGCACTTCCTACGTCGATTATGGATGTCGAATCTTTTAAACATGGCCTACATAAGTGAAATCTTCTTTTCCTTTTTACCTTTTAACCCAATGAATTATTGTTTGTTACTCCCTCCGGTCCAAAATAAGTGATTTTTTGGCTTTTTTCTTGTGGTCCAAAATAAGTAATTTTTCCAGATTTCAAGAATGAATTAATTATTTTTTTCTACATTATCCATGGAGTAAATAGTGTTGAAATATGTGTTAGAAGTGTTTACGTGAGATAGTAAAGGTTAATATGGTCAATTCCATTGCTAATTAATGCTAAAAGATGAATTTCTTAATCTGTGTGAAAACACCCAAAAAATCACTTATTTTGGACCGAAGGGAGTAGTACTTTATTGGTACCATCTTCACATGTTTTCAAGGTAGTACCAAAATTTTAGTTTAGTACCGAGTTATTAGTACTGCTGATTCATGTGATTAAGTGAAAGTGTACTTCATTAGTTAGTGGAATTCATAACAAGAGTAAATTTTCAAGTCACAATATCATTTCTCCTCGTTTCTTAAAAAAAGAGTAATTGTGAAATGCTTTGACGTTGGATTATGTGTATAAAAATACATATATAAATAAAGTTTGATATAAATTTCAAAATTATTATCTTAATTTAGAATCCATAACGTCTTAATTTTGGATTTACCGATAAAAAGATTGATATTTGAAGACTTTAAGCTTTTAGGTTACTTCATTTTGGTCGCGGCTCAGCTAAAAGTAGTAGTTAAATGAGGAAGTATAAAGGAGATATGTTGGTAGTTGCTACCCTTCTCTTAGGCAAAAGGTAGTTTGGCCTTGGGAGGGGAGGGGAATAAAAGTGACGTGCGCAGAAATTTTCGCAAACGGTGTTAATATTTGAAAAGGTAAGCAAATGAATTAATTACTGTAATGGCAAGCGATGCCGTTTTTTATATTTATATCCAATATTTTAGTTTTATTTATTATTTATACATACAGAATACGAAAAAATTCGACGAAGCGGTGTCACGTGAAACTGTTTCAAGCAAGGTGCCTACGCTCCTGGGAATATAGACGTGGGGTTGTGCATTTCTTTGTATTTTAGATTGAGAAAGAGATAGAATAAAGAGAGATAACAATGTTCTTTTTTTCTTTTAGAAAGGGAGGGAGGATTTTGAGCTAAATTACAAGGAATTGAAAGGCGAAAAAAAAGGAGAGGAAATTATATATGCAATATACCTTCTTCTTTCTCATTTCTAGTTTGTTAGGTGCCATATGGCCCATAAGCACATGACGGGAAGCAAGAAGGTAACTATTGGTCCATTAATTGGAAAGGGGAAGAACTAAAATATTGTGGAGAAGGCAAAAAATATAAACTATAGTCTAGAGATAAGGGGGTTGTTTTTCTTTAAAAAAGTGAAGCAATATGTACAAAAAATGTAGAACTAGAGATAAAGGGGGTTGTTTGGTTGCTATTGTATATAGACCTTAGAGGACTAAAAGTTGAGAAGAAGAGGCCAGAATACATAATAACAAGAGTGTTAGGACAAGCTTAAAAGAGAAAAAGAATAAAACAAAAGAACTGCGCCCACCGTGGGGCTCGAACCCACGACCACAAGGTTAAGAGCCTTGCGCTCTACCAACTGAGCTAGACGGGCCTTGTTTTCTTAGAATATTCAACATATTATACTAATGTGCAGTTTATACTAAAGACACATTATGAATAGTAGAAAAAGTTACATATAAGTGGCTTTATGCCCATCATTGATGGTAAAACCACCGGTCAATCTTTCAAGTTGATATATATGAGTTAGGATAAGTGGCTTTATGCCCATCATTTTTCCATTTATTATACATAGGAGTAGGGAATAGCGAAAATATATTTTACATTGATTCATTGAAGGTCTTGACATCTTTCTTAAGAGTTCCTTTAAAGCCTTACAATTTGTTCTTAAAAGGGAAACAAGGAGGGAATTACAAGATGAAAATCATACTCTCACCAACAAGGTAAAATTTTAGGCAACTAACCAACTTAACTACTAAGATTCACCTAGCTTAATGTCCATAGGCTCCTCTTCTCCTCTGTATTTTATGTAACAGGACCCAAAAATCCAATTTGGGCTCGCAAGCCTGAGGCAGAACTTCTTGGAATCGGTTCAAATTCTCCTAGTAACATATAGTAATCCTTTAATTAGAAAATATTAGAAAATTTGGCCATACAGTACATGTGTCAATTCTTTAGAAGAGCAGAAAATTAACCCTGCTGGCTTTGTTAGGAGAAGCTTTTTCCAGCTTCTTATAGTACAAAAAAAATACTGGGTATGTTGTTGTCGTCGTTATTATTATAGTACAAAAAGTCCCAACAATATTCTACATCCCCAAGCTTTACTGCCTAATCTACCAAAATCTGTACAGTCTCAGAATTTTGTGAACAAATATGTGCTCAAGATTCCATTTGCATAGAAAAACACGTGATCCTTTGATAGGCTGCGAGCAGAAAGGAAAGAGTTTACTGACCACATAACAATTCATTCTTGAGTATAGCGCGTCACACTTTGTGCCCATGTGGCCATGTCTCGAAACGATCATAGTCTGACTGCTCGTCTAATATAATATCAATGAGTAGATCTCACCTCTCCTTCCCGTACCACAGCCAAAAATTATGGGCTATAATTCTAGAGCATTAAGTTGACCAAGCAATGTCCGATGTATCAAATGAAAATCAGCTCTTCTATAAGATCATTTAATATGAGATCCTCGAGCTCCAGTCCAACACACACAGCATTAAACTGAAGGTTCATCCAAGTGTCATCTTTTGCTAGATCACGACTCACAGCATCATCGATTGGTTGATCAATCTTCATTTCAGATTCGAGACACGAGTTTATATCAGTCCAAACCTCCCCAAGAACATGGTAACCAACAGGCATTGTTTGGATAAAAGAACGACATGTTAACGACTTTGGCCAGTAGGAACATGATCTCTCATAAATTTGTAACAAGACCTCATTGATTAAATCAAACAAAAGCAGTTGATCACATGACATATCAGCACAAATTTCCAATTCCTCAAATACTGAAGGATTCACTGGATGGTCAGTAGAATGCCATTTTCCTAGAAACTGATCATTTCCACTGAAGCCAGATAGTTCTAGTACATCTTTTACATAATTGAATTCAGGTTTATATCTCTTATCAACCTGAATTTGCAAATGAAATTTGTTGATTTCACTAGCTGAAATTCCCTTTTTATCGGTAGTCACTGTATCCTCTTCTGCACCTGTAGAATATTAGTAGTAAATATTATCCTGTTTGTTAGCCAAAGCAGTGTAAACTATACATTGATGGCTTAAAAAAATGGAAAATATAGAGAAGATGTAGAGATTGTTCCGGAAATGATACCTTTAGATGCCGAGAGCCTAGCTGGGCTAGTAGCATTCTGAAAAATAATATCAGGAAGAGGAAGAGGAATTGATTTATCTAATTTTGAATTAAGAGATGAAGTGACTCCAATAATATTTTCAACCGAGGAAGAGTTCTCGTCTGTCTTTAAGCCACCAAAATCATCAAACGTCTCGTTGACATCAAGAAAAATTGTACTCTTGGAATCCGAATAGTAACCTTTTTCAGTTTGGTTTTCTGAACCTAAAGGGATATTGAGGGACTTCTGTTCGTTGGACTTGGTACTTCCGACACTTAAGTTGTTGCTCGATGCAGCTCTAGCTAGTTTATATGATGAGTAACCGGGTTCAGGAGAGTCCTCAAGTTTGAAAGAAGAGTAATACCTGAGATCAGGCATAGAAAGAATCCTCTCTAGGCTGCCTATAGGGCTACTACTTCTAGCTGGTGAAGGTGATCGAGATGCTCTAAAACTCGACCTATCAAAACCGTCCTGTTTTCCTTCCCTATAGAAGCAGGAGTCAAGTAATTGATTATATCTGTCCAATGATTCATTGACAGATGATGTTCTCCTAAAGTATTTCATTTCACTCTTGCTAAACGGAGAACTGCAATGAGTACAAGTACTCCCCGGGAAGTATTTCACATGTCTATCTGTAGTTTTCTCCTCAACTGTATTGTTTCCCTTTTTGGATGATCCACGACCGTGTGGAACCTTATGAAGGACAGCATCCATAATAATTCGCCTGTCTTTTCTACTCTCCTTAAGTGCATGCCTTATTTTTCTTCGTAGATTCTTAAAACGATTGATGATGAGTTTACTCTCGTGATGTTTCTTTTCTGCTCGAGGTGAACGTGGAGAGACGTTAAATGATTCAAGTCTCGTCTGCACATGTTTTCCAACATCATCATCGTCGCTACTCAAATCCGTTGATGTCACTGAATGGCTATTCAACTGTTCTGCAAAACCGGACTCATTTTCCCCTTTTGCATAATAGTCACATTCCAGCTTGTTCTTATGATTCCTCGACCTGACAGCTCTTCTTCCCCGTGAGCCACATGAAGGAAATGAAACCGACTTGATAAAGTCAAACCTTGATTTGGATGCCTGAGTACTATGTAGCTGCAGTGAAGATAAGTCCTTTCTCATGTTTTCTGATTCAATAGGCTCGAGTGTCTTTTTTGTCGGAGGGTCTAATAGACTGGCAACAGAATAATTCTCCTTCTCCAAAGTATTGTCAACTAAGGGAATTTCATGAGAAGACTGTAGCTCAGCAAGATCTAGATGATGAATAGAATTAATTCGTTCGAGCTGTATAGGACACGATGAACTTCTGCGATGCCTACCCTTTTTCTTAGTTGTTTCTTCTGTAATCAAAGATCTTATCCGAGATAACATTGAACTTTTGGACACTTGACCCGGTGCTGTAGTTTTCGCTACAATCTGAAATGTTATGGTTGATGACATAGTCAGCTAGTGCACAAATATGTACATAATGTAGCAAGAAGTTAGAAAAGAAGACAACAGCAGAAAAATACAAAAGCTCTTAGCAAATTCACACTCATACTATCTTGTAAACTTACAGAGGAATTCTCCAATTTGCCTTCTACTCTTTCTTGCATATCACCAGAATCAGTAGTTGTTGCATTATCCCCTGCATCTTCAAAAGAGAAAATAGTTAATACCATCCTATTTTCCCTAACTTTCAATCTCAATACATGCCAGGAACTTCGTTTGGTTCGAAAATAAGTTATACATGGATTATAATGCAGGATTACTAATGCAGAGATTATTTCTTGTTGGGCATTTGGTTCATTGCACAAAAGTTGATATCGTTTTTAAACTAATACACAATGAGTTTACAATTATACCCTTGGATGCTTCACTTTTATAGGCTTCTAGAAAAAAAGACAAGGATAGTGTTGTCCTTTAATGCTTTATCCATGTATAAGTTATACATAAATTAGTTATTCTATGTTGATAGTGGTATAAAGTTATACCAAAATTGATGTATAACTTTATACAAGGATTAACCATACATGAATAGAAAAGTAAACCAAACATTATATGACTATTAGTACAACTTTATTTGAAATATGATATTGAGAAATCGTAATCTTCAGTGAAATATATTTCAATATAATATTCAGACTTGGAAGCAAGATCTTCACCCGACCTAACCATTAAGAATCCTACTGCGCAAGGAACATGAACATCGTCGTGGAGAGCAGCCTCTGTATCGACAATAAATGGGCTCCTTTTTTTTCTTCTTAATTGCACTTTGTAACATGGTTATTTCTTGCTATACATCAAACCAAACGACCCCTAATAGTTATTCAATCCAACATTAAACCTATAGTAATTGTACACAAACCAACTGTCCTTTTTCAATGAAATGGTTTAGTAATAAAGACAATAAACTAAGCATCTAACATGACATGCTTAAGAGATTAAAAAGGGCAGCCTGGTGTACTAAGTTCCTGCTATGCACGGAGTCTGGGGAAGGGCTGGACCACAAGGGTCTATTGTACGCAGCCTTACCCTGCATTTCTGCAAGAGGCTGTTTCCACGGCTCGAACCCGTACTGGTTACGCCAAGGTTCCCGTCTTAAGAGATTAATTAACATAATGTAGCAGGGAAAAGTACTCTCTTATGCAAAAACTAATTTGTTTTCGATTTCTTTATTTTTTTTCTCACCAGCAATCTGCTTTCCACAGCTCTGCCTTTTGTGTGGGAGGTGTTTCCTGACTTGTTGCCATCGGTTGTGATTCAAATTGTGAAGTATTCCCCACATGCATCCCTTAGGATTTTCTGGACTAATACTAGGATCTTGATGTTTCAAGCTCTTTCCCATATAGTAAAATCTTGTTAATTTACTACTTAATCAAATTAAAATCTTCCTGCTTCCAATACCTGCACCATATATAAGAAGCCAATTTAGCCAAAACCAATAGATCAACCAAACGAAAAAATGGCAGTTCGGTGCATAAAGCATTACGCATTTATCCAGCGTTCGGAGAAGGGCCGCACCCCAAGGGTGTGATGTAGACAACCTACCGTAATGCAAGTTTTAATGACTGCTTCCACGGCTTGAACTCGTGACCTATAGACCACACGAAGAGAACTTTATCGCAGGGTCCGGAGAAGGGCCGCACTCCAAGGGTGTGATGTAAACCGCCTATCCTAATGCAAGTTTTAATAGCTGCTTCCTCGGCTCGAACCTGTGACCTAAAGGCCACACGGAGACAACTTTAGCTCAGAGTCCGGAGAAGGGTCACACTCCAAGGGTGTGATGTAGACAGCCTACCCTAATGCAAGTATTAGTGGCTGCTTCCACGGCTCGAACACGTAGGTCACCCGGAGATAACTTTACTATTGCTCCAAAGTTCCCCTTCTAAGAAATGAAACTAAATAACAATTCAAAATAGATCTTTATTATGAAAAGAAATTCCCCATCTCAAATATGAATTCATGATGCATCAATGTAAAAACTTAGAAAGAAAAAGAGAAGTGGCAAAAGGAAAAGAAATAAATAGCAGCAAATAGTGAATTGCCTTTGTTAAAATCAAAGATATATATTCAAGGTAAAATCACATGAGATTCATTCAAACACTTTCCTTTACACGAAACCCCCATACCATACAAATACATAGAGCAAGATCTATAAAATGAATTGCATCTTTAAATTTCCCAATTCATATTTAGGGTAACATGGCATCAAATTTTGATCAAACTTTTCCCATTTCATAAAACTCCCATACAATTATCATATAGTAAGATCTGTAATTTGAGTTTCAACTCTAAATTTCATCGTATGGATATCTCAACAAAATGCATCAAAATGGTAGGCGAGCCTACATTGTAGGCAGAGGGGTCACCGGCACCCGAAAAATTCGACAAAAACTTCATGTATATATACTTGTTAATTTTTTCAAAAAATAGTCAAATATTAACAAATGCCCCCGTACCAATCTCTATGAGTAGTGATAAATTAATATTGAATATAATGGTGCCCCCGTGACTATCGAATTTTGGATCCGCCTCTGGTATCTTTACTGGAGACCTCCCATTTGAGCTCGGGAATGGAGAAATTCCTGAAAGGAAGCACTTTTCTCTTAACTAGTTCTACGCAGCACGAATCCAGATTAGTCGAGCTGGTGGATTTCAGATACCAGATGATTAAACAAAAAAAACGTTTGACGTCCATGCAATAAAGATAAAAACTGAAAAGGTGTTTAAAATTTTAGAAGCATGTAAAAATATTAATTAAATGGTGTACTTACGACTTTTAGATTCTGGATTCGTCTGTGACATTTATTAAAGGAAATTCTAATTGTAACATAATTATCGTCATAATACCTTAGTATATTATGTAGAGGGAATATGGAGCTTCACAGACATGGTAAAAGGTTGAAATTTGCAGAGGAAAAAAAAGAGAAAGAGAAAAAGTGAAGGAGGAAGAAGAAATGGATGGAACAGAAATGGGAGATAAAAGAATTTTCTTTCTTTACTTTTGGCGCCATTTATCTGCCAACCGTTTTCCGTTTCTTTCTCAAGTCTCTCTTTCTTTATATATATCTTTTCATGTGAGCATTTCTTACTTTTCTAATTGTTTTGCTAGACTTATATATATCGCTTCAATGCTTCTTTTTCAACTTTGTTCTAGTTCTTTCATTTATTCTTTTTAAAGTAATTAGTCTAAGGATTCGTGCATCACGTGTGTAATTTATCTCGATAAATATAAAAAAATAATTTTAAAACGCGAATAATATTTCACAATGCGTGTGTACATATGTCAATGAGCATACAATTAAAGGTATATTATTAAATAATGTATCTTAGTTTAAAAAAAATTAAAAAATACGAGTTCTTAATAATTAATGTTGATTGTATTTACATATATCAGTAGAGGCAAAAATTCTGCCATATAGAAATTTTCATACATATAATGTGTTATAGGAGAAAATTTTAAAATAAAATATTAATATAAAAATTTCAAACAACACATATATTTAACTCAGATATTATTCAACCCATAACTTTTTTCTCGCGTCTCACGAAAATGCCAATTTTATCAAATTCATAATCAATTTGAATATTAAGAGATACAGTCCATCACTAATTTGTCAAAATTTTAAGTGAACACAACTCTAATTGAGTTCAAATATCACTATAAGCTAACACCTAAATATTAGTACAATAAAAATAAGATAGTCTCAATTATTTTTCTTGCCTAATAATTATACCAAGATTTTTAAATACGCCCTTTTATTAATTGTAATTAATGAACTATCTTGTACCAAGATTTTTAAATACGCCCTTTTATTAGATAAATTGTCATATTCAAATATTTGACCTTTGATCAAACTTATCTTTCTATAAAGTTTTCTCTAAAACAATTAAATTTCCATCAAGTATCTCTTCATAATCCAGAAAAAAGTGTTCTTCTTTTTTCTTTCAAAAAATGAAGATTCTCGTTGGTTATTAATTAATATTAGAATGAACTTTAAAATGCTAGCACTAATGATAGTATCATCTAAAATGACATTTAAACAACCTTGATTATAGAAGGTATGAGATTGCATAAAGTGTTCGTAATATGTAGCGGAGGACAATAACAATTCTAGATAATTTTTTTCGTGTTTAAAATTTATTTATATATCAAATCGGATCTAAGACGTACATGACAATAACAATCCTAGGTGAAGAGAGTCTCGTTTGAAAATTTCTTCGGTAGCACGAAGACTCTCCGCATATCCACACTGAGACCAATTTTTGCTATCAACTCTTTGATCATGGAATCCGCGAACAAATTGAATGAAAAACTTAAACTGAAATTTTTCTCAAAAACATCGACATAGTTGTAGACAATAAAATCCGTGAAGAAAATAATCGAGACCGAAAAATATTGCAACAATCGTAATATTATATTTTAAATAATTTGAGTGTTACAATCTCTATGATTACTCTGATTCTTCTTTCCAATAGTAAATAAATTCAAGTACCTTTGAGCTTGATCTTGAATCTATATTTGTTGCCGTGAACGATGATCTAAATTCAACTAGCATGAACTTTGATTTGAACTTGTACTCCTTGAACCTTAATTTGTTCTTCGTTCATGAGCTTGAACTTGATTTCTTGAACTTGAACTTAATTGCTTGAAGCTTGAAACATGTAGAGAAATTTGCGCGATTGATCCACGATCTCTCTCTTGCTTCTTGTTATAACTTCTGTTGTCCTTTCTGAATTATGAAGACCCCTATTTATAGTTGTGGAAGAGAAGAGTTGTGATGAGAACAAACTCTCTCGGACCAATCAAATGGAAGCGTGATAAGGCCGCATTTGATTGGCCATAACATGTCACTTGCACATGTATCGCAATTTCACTAGCCATTTACTTTGAGTTGGCATGCCTAGTCATTTTGACACGTAGCATGATCCTAATGGCTCTTTCGTTTGACTTGGCGTGCCATGCCATTTGACACGTGGCACAAAACTGGGCATCCAAGAAGATGACATTGGGCTCATCACTTGTGGCCCAAGTGAATGGGTTAGCCCAATAAATTTGGATTTACTTATTTAATCCATATATATTGGACAAATATAATCAATCCAATCATTAGGTCCATAATATTTATTTAGAATAACATATATTTAAAGTATAGTCCAAAATATTTTATTGAATTTAAATTCAATAAAGTTTGCATGCCTATAAATGTATCACGACCCAAAACTCTAACCTGTCGTGATGGCGCCTATCGATGGTACTAGGCAAGACGATTTTTATTTCAAGATACTTCGATATTTCATAAAAGTTAAACCAAAAACGTTTTCATAACATAGTTTTCCATAAAAATAGGAGTTAAACTCAAAATACAAAGAGGAAAGATAGCCCCAAACATGGGGGTGTCACCAAGTCATGAGCATCTAGGCAACCAGTCTAAGAAACAGTGTCTACAAGAGTCTGTGTCTAAATGTCAATACAGAAAAGAAAGATAGCAAAGACGGAGAGACAAGGACTGCCAACGCCGGCAGCTACCTCGTAAATGTTCGATACTCGACCACGCACGTGCTCAACGTCCTTTGTGATCGGACACAGCTAGATCTGCACATGAAGTGAATGGTGTAGCGTGAGTACAACCAACTCAATAAGTAATAGAAACAAATAAAGAATTGAGAAGCAGCGACGAGCTATACAAATACAGTTCATTTCAGTAATATCAACAATGAAAGTAGACTTGGGTAAATTCCGCCAATATAAGTCAAGTCAGCTGCATATTTGCTAAGTTCAGGTAGACCAGATATAATATTTCCCAGAAGTTCAGAACAGTAACATAAATCAGCTAAGTGTAGCGACAAAGCGAGACAAATACAACCTCTCAGGGTAACAGTCACTCAAGCTCTCAATAAACTCGGCTCTCAGACCTCAATACACACACTCAATAGGTATCTGCGCACACTGGGGTGTAGAAACTCCGGAGGGGCTCCTTCAGCCCAAGCGCTATATCGCTGCGGCGTGCAGCCCGATCCAATCTTGTTGCGACGTGCAACCCGATCCACAATCCATAAATAGCCATAAGGCCCGTTGCGGCATGCAACCCAATCCATATACATTCAGCCCTCAGGCTCTTTGCGACGTGCAACCCGATCCATATACTCTCACATAGCTCACGCTCGACACTCAGGCCCTATCTCAGTCACTAACCTCTCCAGCCTCTCAGCTCGCAGAAACAATACAATTCAGCCCAAACAGAAATAATAATAAGTACTAACAAGAAACAAGAGGGAATGGAGGTATGACACACACGTAAGACTGTGACTGAGTGCAACACAACAATTAGCAGTCAATTCAACAAGTACACGACCGCTGCGGGTCCCAACAGTGATACCATATCGCCTAAGCATGGTTTCTAACATGAATAGTAGTCTATTTCTAGAAAACAAGGGAAACATATAATCAACAATAGGCTATTCGACTTTATAGTCTCACGGGGCGGACCAAGTCACAATCCCCCACGGTGCACGCCCACACGCCCGTTACCTAGCATGTGCGTCACCTTCAAATACTCACATCATACCAAATTCCGGAGTTTCATACCCTCAGAACCAGATTTAAGACTATTAATTACCTCAAACTGCGCAAAAATCTTACTCTGAAATGCCTTTGCCCCTCGAATCAGTCTCCAAATGCCCCGAATCTAGCCACAAGCAGTACGAGAAAATTAATATAGGCTACAGGAATCAATTCCATAAGAAATACATGAAATTCTAAACCAAAATCCGAAATAGGCTCAACCTGGCCCCCCGGGCCCACGTCTCAAAATTTTACAAAAGTCACTAAATCCGAAAGCCCATCTACTCACGAGTCTATCCATACTAAATTTATCAAAATCCGACACCATTTGGTCATCCAAATCCCCAAAGTTCACTCTCCAATTCTCAAGCCCTAAACCCCCAAATTTCACTTCAAAATCTCACCAATTAGGTGCAAAATCAGTGGGGAAACACCATTATCGATGATAAATAGACACAAGGAGCTTACCTCAGTAATCACTTCAAAATCCTCCTAAAAATCCTCCAAAATTCGAGTCCAAACTATGAAAATGGTGAAAAATCTCGATGTCCCGTATTTATATATTCTGCCCAGGCCTTTCGCACCTGCGGCCTAATTTTCGCACCTGCGGAACCGCTCCTCGCAACAATTTCTGCACCTGCGGAATTCACTTAAACCCACTGGGCTCGCACCTACGCTCCAGGTCTCGCACTTGCAGAGTCTCTTCTGCGGTCCTTCGTCCGCTTCTCCAGAAATGACCAAGATCCCCTTTTCCGCATCTGCAGCTCAGCCTCGCATATGCGGGCTCGCTGATGCGCTCCCTTTCTCGCACATGCGCCTCCTTCCCAGCTTGTTGCATCTACGCCCATCTTGCCGTATCTACGGCTAGGCCCCTCGCAGGTGCGATTACACCAGCAACAACCAACTTCAACAACTTCACCAACTAGAAACCAAGTCCAATAACCACCCGAAATCAACCCAAGGCCCCTGGGACCTCAACCAAACATACCAACAAGTCATATAACCCATTACGAACTTAGTCGAACCCTTGAATCACCCCAACAACACCAAAAACACGGATTACACCCGGATTCAAGCCTAAAGAACTTCTAAACTTTCAAATTCGACCAACGACGCCGAAACCTACCAAACCGCGTCCGATTGACCTCAAATTTTGCACACAAGTCATAAATTACACCATAAACCTACTCCAATTCTTGGAAATCAAATTCGACCCCGATATCAAAATTTCCATTGCCAGTGAAATTCGCCAAAATTCTAACTTTCGCCAATTCAAGCCTAATTCTACTACGGACCTCCAAATCACATTCCGAACGCGCTAGGTCATTTACATATCAAAATTCAAATCCGAGGTCATTTACACATAGCTCGACATCCGATTAACTTTTCCAACTTAAACTTCTAATTAAGAGACTAAGTGTCTCAATTCACTCCGAAATTACTCCGGACCCGAACCAACTAACC